ATGCACCCAAGGGTCTGAGAGTAACGCAATTTCAATTCTCTGTGTGTATGTGCTGTACATGTGGAAGAATTGACAATAAAGCAGACTTGACTTGACTTGATATTATGCATTTATATTATTTTACAAACAAATCTAAATTAACATATAAAAATATATTTTTTACTGAGATTTGATGTAGTGACACAATTTTGCGTCGTGATTACGCAATGACGTCACAACTTCATTTAGCAACTTTTAGCAACAAATCGACCTTCCTTTAGCAACTTCCCCTGAAAATTAGCTGGCAACGGTGGTTACTAAGGCGCGGACCAATTGTGGAAAAGTGAAGGATGACACTTCACTATTATTACAGGTTGCTATAAATAACTTTTATTAATTAATTATGTTATTTCACATATACAGTACTGGTCAAAAGTTGAGATTTTTAAATGTTTTTGCAAGAAATTTAACCAAAGCTGCATTTATTAAACACAGTATAAACGGTGATATTGTGAAATAATATTACAATCCTATGTGTTCTCTATTTGAATATATTTTCAAATCTAATTTATTCCTGTAAGGGCAAAGCTGAATTTCCAGTAGGGCTGTGCGATATTGAAGAAAAATGCGATATGCGATAACTCATTAAGCGTTAGTGTTAGTTCTGGCAGGCCACGTGAGTCAAGCTTGCATCAGGTGATCACATCTACCTATAGCAACACGACACCGATCGCGGCATTCCTATATAAGCTGTATTCAGTATTATTCAGCAGCTTTTCAGCTTGCTCCGGAGCAAATTACCCTCCTCCATCCCCAGCTCCTCCTTTCGCCACAGTCAGGACTTAGCTTTCTGATATTCCTTGCTAATCAGACTCCTTTATCTTGAATAAAGTGTTACACTTAAATATCATTGAGTACATTAATGATATCTGCCTTGTTCTGTTCTGTTAACCCTGGGGGGGTTATTATTGCTGCTCTCCCTGCTCATTCATGACAGTCAGTTCTGTGAACTTCTATAACTCTCTTGTGTCATATATATATGGTCATTTGTATGCATGTATGTATGTACCAAGAGTTTCTGTAAAACCACAAATTCCTTGTGTTTGCGCACACTTAAGTGGTGAATAAAGCTCATTCTGACTCTGATTCTAATAAGAAAGCACCCCTACAACAACTTCTGGAAGTGAACGGTAGTGTTTTACTCGAGCATTACATAAAAATGTCATTTTAACATGAGTTTAGGAACTGAATAATAAAAAGGAAAAATAAAACACTGCGTAGTATTTACTCTTTGAATTCAATATGCACTGATTCTTATTTAAGCTACAAAAGTTATTTAGGTAAGAGCAGTGAGTGATTTTCTCTTTGTCTTTTGTTCATGGCCCCAAATATTGCAAGCTGTAGCGATATGCATGTTGCGATATTTCGATAATTTCAATATATTGCACAGCCCTAATTTCCAGCACCCATCACTTCATGATGATCCTTCAGAAATCATTAGAGCCCTGCGCAGGACTGTTTTCTTAAAGGGATAGTTCACCCAAAAATGAAAATGATTTAAGGTGCTTTTGCACCACGTAGTTCTAGGAATTTAGTTCTAGGAACTTGCCAGCAGGGTCGTTCCTAGAGAACCAGTCGGGCAGTTTTCCTGGTTGCATTCGCACCGGCAGCGGGAACTCTGAAGCGGCCGACAGCGACGTCTTTATTCACGGCGTGGCGTTTACAAACATCAATAACCGGTGAATGGAGGACGCCGCGATCGCAGCTGTTTTTGTTGTGTGTCACGGGGTTTCATGATAACGGAGATGGAATGTAATTGCACAATTTACATGATTGAAAGAGCATGTGTTGCAGTGTTATCATCAAGGCTGAGAAAAGAACACAACACTGCAGACAGCAGAAATGCTGTTATGGTTGTCTTCCATGTTCGTGGAGTAAATATGTTTACATGGCTTTTTAAAAATGCAGAGTATCCGGTGTTTCGTATGTGTCTGGCCAATCCGCGTATACTTACGTCACTGGTAGTTCCTATAGAACTCATTTAGAGCCTACTCTGAAGTAGGAGCTAAATTAGTTCCCCCAAATGTAGAACTGAATACGTTCCTAGTTCCTGCGGTGCTAACATGCCAAAAAGCGGGAACTTCCACCAATAGTTCTCGGAATTATGAAAAGGTCCCTCTGGTGCGAAAGCGCCTTTACTCACCCTCAAGCCAGTGTATATGGCTTTCTTCTTTCAGACGAATACGATCGGAGTTATATTAAAAAATGTCCTGGCTCTTCTAAGCTTTATAATGGCAGTGAATGGGTGTTGAGATTTTGAAGTCCAATAAAGTGCATCCATCCATCATAAAAAGTGCTCCACACGGCTCCGGAGGGTTAATAAAGGCCTTCTGAAGCTAATCAATGCATTTGTTTAAGAATAATATCCATATTTAAAACTTTATAAACCATAATTTCTAGCTTCCGCTAACTCACGAGAGAGTGGCGGGAGGTTGTCATGGCAACCAGATACATTGTACGCAAATAACGTCTGCGCTTCTATTTTGCTACACTAAACTTAGCAATAAACACATTGAAAATAAGGCACAATAAACATGTCTGTCAAAACTATCTCAAAGGAAGCTGAAGTTAAGCAAATCAAAGAGTGAATTACTCATCCACTGTTTTTAAAACCGACGTTTGTTGGGCTTGATTCAAGATAATGCACAATGGCAGGCGCACACTTTCTATTTAGTCTTACTGAAAATAGACGATAAACAGTTTATATTCTAAAATCTATTTATAGGTTGTGTTCTGTAACATTTGGATGTAAGTGACCTGCTTAAAAGTAGAACACCTTTATCTGAAGCATGGCATTGGCATCTTCATCTGAGTTTTTTCGTTATTCGTTTTTTGTTAAAATATCTTTTTTTCTGTTCCGAAGATTACTGCTTTCCGCGTTGAAGACATCCAACACAAATCTACGAACATATTCAGGAGAGCATATTCAGGTTTATTGCTAACTAGTGAAACACTCCATTACCAAAAGTTAAAGAGGGTAAACTTTATCATTAAACTGAATTGTGCACGTCTGTTTTAAACACTTCGGCTACCTTATATGTTCTTACTCCACACATATTAAAAGCATGCCGTTTTCTAGTGTATTTAACTTCTCAGGTAATATCAATGGTATGACCTATTTCACCATTGTATGGTTCTTTTTTTTTTTTTTAAGACCAATGATATTGGACCCATTCACTTTTACCGTCTCTAATTCAGCGCAATTTGTCTGTTCACTTTTCAGAGTGCCGTCAGTCAAATCCATTCCACTTGTGGAATGCCCTAATAAAATAAACTCCATTCCGCGTTTTAGCTACAGCCTTGACTTCCACGCTGCTGCTTCCTCAAATCCATTCCACTTGGCTCATTCAGAGTCCATATAAAATTCAACCGTACGGTGGCCGAGAGAGCTCAATAAAAAACTTGACTCTTCTGAAGTTACATTGTGTACTAAGACCGACGGAAAATGAAAAGTTGGGATTTTCTAGGCCGATATGGCTAGGAGCTATACTCTCATTCCGGCATAATAATCAAGGAACATTGCTGCTGTTCCATGGGTGCAGCAGGCGCAATGATTTTACGCAGCGCCTGAACATAGGCTAACTTCCGTCAACATAACCAGCATGACCACCTGCTTGCACAGGGAGCGTGCTGGGGACTATTTTCAGGTGCTGCGTAATATAATTGTGCCTGCTGCACCCATGGTACGGCAACAAAGTTCCTTGATTTGTACACGATGTAACTACAGAAGAGTCAAGTTTTAAGTAGGAAAAATATAGAAACTCTTTGGTCATTTTTGAGCGAGATGCTAACGGTCTAATCAGATTCAATGATCTATGCTAAGCTACAGTTAAAAGTGCTACCGCCAGACCCGGAGATCGGCTGAATGGATTCGAAAACGGTAAAACTCAACTGTTTAACTCTAGGGGAGTTGGAAAATGAGCCTATTTTAAAAAATAGTGGAGTGTTCCTTTAAGAAAACACATGCAAATAGAAAAAGCACTAGCAAAGTTAGAAAACACATGTGCTGCAAATACTCACAACACAACCAAATAGCATTGCAAGTAGCACAGACCACAACGGAACCCTTACGAAAATTAACATGGTTTTACTATAAATTAAACCTAAAGAACCATGGTTACTATAGTTAAACCATGGTAACCACAAATTAACCATGGTTTTGCTACACTAACCATAGTTTAAACGTGGTATTTGTACAACTTTGGTTATGAAATGGTTATCAATACAAAAACATGGTTACTACACTTTTACTATAATAAAGGTTAATTTTCATAAGGGTTGTTGGGGCCCCATTGAAACATTTCCCTTACGAAAATTAACCATGGTTTTATTATAGTAAAAGTGTAATTACCATGGTTTTGACATATTATTGACTACCATTTGTATAACCACAGTTTTAACTACTAATATCATGGTTAAACTATGGTTAGTGTAATAAAGCGATGGTTAATTTGTGCTAATTTGTGCATTTGTTTGTAATAGTAAAACCATGGTTAATTTTCGTAAAGGAAGTTGTAAGTTACCCAGCTTACATAATGTTTCACAGTTACAGTAATTGTGTATTTCGTTGGCTTATTTAAGCTAATAATATCCAAAAAAGGTAAGGAATCATATGATCAGGATGTTAAAATAAACAAAAATCTCACCTTTCAGAGCAGAAATTGCTAAACATGTCCCAGCCAGGTTCGTCACTTGCGCTTCCCTTAATCTGTGAGTATTTGCAGCGCGTTTCTGTTTATTATTTTTTTTACTTAAAAGTGTGTTTCGTTGTGTAGCCTGTGATAAGGACCTTTTATAAAATGAAATGACAGATTATGTAGTTTTATAACATATAACATTTTATTTAAATGCGTTTTATTCTCTCTGTGATAAAGACCTTTTAAAAAAATATATAAAAACAGATGTAGTTTTATAAAATAAATATATTGTTGAAGCAATTTGTCTTAAAGCTTAATTATGTTTGTGGTTAGCCTCCATTAAGTGAAATGGGTCCCTGTGGCAGCAGATCTGTTAGCATGATGAGCTGCTGAAGTTTGTTTATCTGTATCACTTGGCAACACTTTCCTCATCTTACCTCTGCTAGAGACACTGCACCTGTGTGTGAATGAATCCCGAAGGACAGGAAAACATTTAGCTCATGATACGCTCCCTGCTGATTATCACAGGACATAGATTAAAGAAATTAATTGTAAGACAATAACTACACTAAAATGGCTTTAGCGAGTGGACATTGGGTCGACAAGGACATCGCAGGAGTCCCACCAAGCCCACGGTGAGTTCATTCTGCTTGCAGATGTTTATGCCGTAAGGAGAAAAAAAAATGAAAATAAGCATTATACGTATCATTCACAGATATGGCCATGCAATGACTGCAGCAGGAAATATCGCTTTCTTGTTTGGAGGAGCATCCAGCGCGATCACAGAGGTGTGTGAATCTAATAAACCGCTGAAAACTGCTCTTTGTGTTCATAAAGATTATTGATCCAAACATAATGCCTGTGCAACTGTGTTTTTATCCTTAGGACGATCCTCCAATTTATCTGAATGACTTTTACATGGTTACAGGTACCTTTGGTGAAATATTTCGCTGTTAACACATAAGTGAATGGTTTTGCTAAACGTATTATTGATTTCAGGATGGTTTGGAACTTTTCAAGTGTATTTTTCTTCTGTTTTAGTTTCACCTAATCGAGTTACATGGGAGCTGATGCCTCAGAAAGGTGACGTTCCCACAGCGAGAGAGGGACACACTTTGTGGTAATAAGAGAGTTCATGTATTAATATTTAAAGCTAAAACTTCCACTGTTCAAAATTTGGGGTCAGTAAGATTTTAATGTTTTTCAAAGAAATCTCTTATTCTCACCAGGGCTGCATTTATTTGATTAAAAATGCAGTAAAAATTGTGAAATATTATTACAATTTCAATTGCCTGTTTTCTGTTGTAATATATTTTAAATTGTAATTTATTTCTGTGATCAAAGCAGAATTTTCAGCATCAGTCTTCAGTGTCACATAATCCTTCAGAAATCATTCATTCTAATTTCTTTATTATATTTTAAATATATATTTTATTTAAATATTTCAAATGTATTTGATGAGTATTTTTTCCCTCCATATATATATATATGGTGCATAGTGAAATGTTTTTAACTGTGCTTTTTTTAATTTAAACTAACCTGAACCAAATATGAAGTGTGAGAAAAGAAAAGAAAAAACAGGGAACAAAAAAAGAAAGCCAAGCTAAATATTACATTAAAAAACGAATAAATTATTTATTACAAAAATTAAAACAATAAATGAATAAAACAATTTATTGTAAAATATAAAAACAAATAAATGAGTTTTGAGTTCATTTATTTAATCGTGTTTATATTTTATAATACATTTATTTAATCAAAAACAGCGTAAACTTGTGAAATATTATTGCAATTTCAAATAACTGTTCTATTTTAATATGCTGATTTGCTGCTCAAAAAACATTTATTATTATTTATATTGAAAACATTTTCGCTGCTTCATATTTGTGTGATAAACCGCGATACATTTTAGTTTTCAGGAATAATTTAATGAATAGAAAGTTCAAAAGAACAGCATTTATTTGAAACAGAAATGTTTTGTAACATTATAAATGTCTTTACAGTCAATTTTGATCAATTTAATGCGTCCTTGATGAATAAAAGTATTAATTTCCTTTAAAAAAAAGTCTTACTGGCCCCAAACTTTTAAACAGTATGTACATAAAAAAAAGTTTTTTTGTAATTTTCAAAACCACACTTTTCCTTTTCCCATAGTGTCGTTAAAGGAAAACTCTACTTGTTTGGAGGTTCCTCTCATCCTGAAGCTGAAGAGTGTCTCCCAGGCGTCTATTGCTTTGACATTGGTGAGACACTAGACCTTTAATTCTGTAAATGCATGTGATTTCTAGATTCAAATGAACAGCTTGTGTTGTTGTCGTTATGTTAAGATGCTTGAGTTTTGATGTGGATTGTCTTGTGCGTCAGTGGCGTTGACGTGGGAGAAGCTGCTGACTGGAGGAGTGTGTCTGCGGACTCTGAGACACAGTGCAGCGGCTCTGGGAGAGAATATCTATGTGTACGGAGGGATTCTGGACAGCGTCCCTACGGATGACCTCATGATGTTCAACACCGGTCAGTACTGTGAGCACCGCATTATTAGACTTGTCCAGTGATTTAAAGTAGTGTAAAGTACAATTCAGAGAGTGTTTGAAAAGAAAGACGCAACAGAAACATATACAAATGATCTTTTTTTGAATGATAACCCTATAAAGCTACTGTATTATATTTGAAACTCAAATTTCTAATGCCTTTAAATGATCAACATGATCAAAACTTTGCTGCTGAACCTATTTCACACAATCTTTACATGCCTTCTGTCGTCTGATTGATAGTTTAGAGTTTATTCAGTCAAAGCTCTTGTAGTGTAACTGTAGCTGGAGCGTCTCGTGTCAAATCTTGAGTGATTTTGATCAAGTAAACGTGAGAATAAGTGCAGTCATATCTGCAGATGCACTCTTACTGGACTGAAACAGCTCAGCTTTACTTGATTCTCCATCAATCATGTTTTAGAGTCTGAAATCTGATCCTCAGGATCTTTTGAGGAGCGTTTGTTTCCAGAAGCTTTACTTTCACTGTTCCTCAGCGGAGGAATGATCTTCACAAGCCTCCAGAACATCTCACATCTTCTGAGGAGCCTTTATTTCTTCAGCTCTCAATCACTGCATTATATGTTTGGAGCATTTCACTCTCATCTCACTGAGACCGATTACTGGAGATATAGAGCGATGACTGATATTTAGAGCATTTTATGTGAATATCTGCTCTACTGTTATAAAGATCTCATTAATTTACATTACAAGCATATATATATGTGACCCTGGACCGCAAAAGCAGTCATAAGGGTCAATTTATCGAAATTGAGATGTATACATCATCTGAAAGCTGAATAAATAAGCTTTCCATTGATCATATCCTTTGTTATGATAGGACAATATTTGGCCGAGATACAACTATTTGAAAATCTAGAATCTGAGGGTGCAAAAAAATCTAAATATTGAGAAAATCATCTTTAAAGTTGTCCAAATGAAGTTCTTAGCGATGCATATTACTAATCAAACATTAAGTTTTGGTATATTTACGGTAGGAAATTTACAGAATATTTGTAACTGTGAAACATGATGTTTGCTTAATATCCTAATGATTTTTGGCATAAAAGAAACATTGATAATTTTGACCCATACAATGTATTGTTGGCTATTGCTACAAATATACCCCAGCGACTTAACACTGCTTTTGTGCTGCAGGGTCACGTATCAGCATTTAAGGCAAATTGCATATTTTTGCTCAGTTTGGGCCTCTGAATATAATTGAGCTGTTTTTTTTAACCATAAAAACCTGATGGATCAAATATGATACTCAACAAAAAAACACATATGAGACTTTTTATTTTAGATTTTGTCTAAAGGTTCAATAAGCTGTTACTTTTTTTTTTTAAAGAAAGAAAAAAACAAAAAACAAAAATACTTTTTCTGTCTATTATTTCATATGTCAGGCTTTACAGGGTTAAATCGTTTTTAAAAAAAATAGTTCATGCGTAAATGAAAATTCTGTCATTATTTACTCTCTCGTGTCGTTCCAAACTCAAAAAAAATACTATAAAAGCACCATGAAAGTCACAAATCAGATCCAAATTTAATTGTTTTCATTTTTTGATTAACTATTTTGTCAATAGTAACTTACAGTATGTCGATGCTTTACTTCGTTCAGTGTCGTTGAATTGGATGCCTATTAAAACTACAGGAGCTCTGCCTTCAGCAAGGTAAATACTGATCTGACTGTAGATGTAAAACTGTGTGTAGAAAAACATATAAAAGGGCATATATTGTAAATGTATGATTGTTGGAAGTGAAGCTGTAATTGTCGGCCATCTGTTCAAAGCTGCAGTTTTATCAGCTGTGTTTATTTGGTGCTTTTTCTCTTCCAGAGACTCAAGCTCAGCATCTGCTGTCTTTCCATCTGACCGCCTTCTTCTGCTTCTCTTCTTTAGATATGGTCATTCATTAGCTGTGGTCGGTGAGCAGATATTCCTGTTTGGTGGATGTTCAGAGGACGGGACTCAAACCAAAGACATGTGCGCACTGAATACAGGTACAACACTGGGAATACTGCCGATTCATTATTTCACATAGTAAAGATTGCAGTTGAAGTGGAAAGACTCATTTACACAGCGTGAACGACTGACTGTAATGAACTAGTGAATGTTTTTTCTCATAGAGACTCTGGTGTGGGAACAGTGTAAGGTTAAAGGAGAGGCTCCTGTTGTTTGTGCCGGTCAAACCTTTACATCACATCATGACAAGGTAAAACAGGTTTAGTTTACTGGAGTCATGTTAAAGACTAGATTTAAGTTGTTTTTCTTTCTTTCTTTTCTATTCTTTTGGAAAGAAATTTATATTTTTATTCTGCAAGGATGCATTAAATTGATCAAAAGTGACAGTAAAGGCATTTATAATTTTACAAAAGATTTCTATTTCAAATAAATTATGTTCTTTTGAACTTTTTATTCATCAAAGAATCCTGAAAAATAAAATGTATTAGTGTTTCCACACAAACATCAACTGTTTTCAGCATTGATAATAATCAGAAATGTTTCTTGAGCAGCATATCAGCATGTTAGAATGATTTCTGATGGATCTTGTGACACTGAAGACTGGAGTAATGATGCTGAAAATTCAGCTTTGATCACAGAAATAAATAATTTTTTTAACATGTATTCAAATGGATAAGAGTTATTTTAAATTGTAATAATATTTCAAATTTTACAGAATTTTTGATCAAATAAATGCAGCCCTAGGGAGCATAAGCAACTTCTTTCAAAAAAAGAAAAAAAATCATCCTGACCCCAAATTTTGATCAGTGGTATTTAAGAGAGAGTGTATGCTTTCGATGCTGTGACTAGGGGTGGGCGATATACCACTAGACATGATTAACCGGTAGAAATTTGTCAACCAGTAGAGATTTTGGACTATCGTCTCTATCGCGGTTACACGCTCACGTGATGTTCCTGTGCCTCGTGGTCATGAAAACTTCTTGTGTGCATGCGTTTTAAGCATTGGGGTTTAAAAACAAGTGATTTTAAGCCATTGAAGCGCAATCAGCAGCGAAAGAGAACTCATTTCTCTATATGCTGAACTGGATGACGACACCACTGAATCATCAATGAACTGACTTGTCCTCTTGCATTATTGACAAACTATTTTCCTGTTTCACACTGTAAAGCTGCTTTGACACAACCAGTATTGTATGAAGCGCTATACAAATAAAGGTGACTTGAATTGTCTTGACTTATGCGTGTGCTGTCAGAGACAGAGAGGCATGCACATGTAAAGACGGCGCTCCTAGAGCACGGGAGTATTGAACTGTGTTATTTTTGCAGCTTTATAGGCCGTGAACAGTTAAATACACACACTTGTATGCGTCAAAATGCCCGTCTTTGCAAGTATCCTTGTGAACATAATAATTTAACAATTTAGCAAACAGCCGAGAAAGAAAACACATGTGTAACAGTATATTAGATCCAGGCAGCTCTTAAAGTGACAGCAGTCTAATATTCCTGCTGTCTGTCATTCATGTTAATCAAACAACAAAAGAGAGAAAATCTCTCACTGCTCTTTACTTAATCACTTTTGTAACTTTAATAAGAAGAAATATATATTTAATAATTTACACAGTGAAGAATATGCTTTTGTTCATTTGATTACTGTACACAATGTATGTAGCATTTCTTAATTATTTTGTTCTACTGTAGTTTTTTTGTCCTATTGCTTGTAATTAGTTTCTTATAGTTATTTAATCACTGACTGTTTACTTGTCTTTTTAAAAAAAAAAAAGTAGGCTAGTATTAGTGTTTTGTGATATTGACACTGGTGAAGAATACTGACATTTCTATTGTATAAAAAAAAATGATATCATAAAGACCTTATATAAAGCAAAAAAAATACTATATTGTGATATATATATCGTTAACGTGAAATAAAATTACTCATATCGTGATATAACATTTTGGTCATATCGCCCACCTCTAGCTGTGACACAGGAATAAATGACATTTTAAAATATATTAACAAAAAATAAACACTTATTTTAAATTGTAATAATATTTCACAAAGTTGTTTGCTCAGTAAATTCAGTGTTGATGAGAAATAGAGACCTATTGCAAAAACATTAAAAGAAATTATTTTTTATAAACATTTATATATTCACAAACTTTTAAACAGCAGTGTGTACAATTTCTGAAATACATGCGAATAAGTGAAAAAAACGGCACAAACTGAAGTTTAATTACTTAGAGTTTTAAAACAAGTTTGAGCGAAGGTAGTAATGATGCTTGAACAAATGTTTTGATTCAGGATATTTACTTGCTCGGAGGAACCATCACTAATCCAGATGGAGTGGTATCATCAACAAATGAAATTCACAAATTAAGCATCGGTAAGATGAGAAGCAAAACTGAGACTGATGTTCTGCTGCCAAGAGCCTCCTGTTTTCTCATAGTAGTTTGCAGTGAAGGAACAGATACTAACACTGTTACACTCTTCCTGTTTTACCAGCAAAGATGAAATGGAAAGTACCGCTGTATGTCGGCATCCCTCCCTCCAGACGTCACAGACACACGGCTTTCATCGTCCACAGTCATGTATGTGTGTGTTAATGTGGGCTTTTACATACAGTACCTTTCAAAAGTTTAGACACTCAACTGTTTCTAATAATCACCAAAAACAATCTGAAGGCTTTTGCTTAAATGACTGCCATTTTTATTAGATTGTTTTTAATGGAGAAGAGATTGAAGGGAAGCATCATAAAATGCTCGTGTTCCTCCTTCAGTGGTGTTTCAAAGCATCCCATGATGCACCTCATGAAGTTGTTGAATGTCCAGGGGTGCGTTTCCCGTACAATGACGTAACTCAGTGATTAACCACCATAGTACGATGCATTGTTGTGGAAACTAACCAGCCAGTCACGACTGTTTCCCGAACACGGTCGCATCTCTGTCGTTTGAACCACATTAGTTCAACAATTTAGGGCCGTTGTTAATGGCGTCGCACGCATTTGGTGGAGGCATAACTTCTGCTAATGAATTGATTCGAGATCTCTAAGATGCTGTTGTATTGAACAATATGACTAGTTACTATGTTTTGTTCCATGTCATTTTGCTTTATTTGATGTTTGATTCATCGTGGGTTTCCTCCTACGTCATATCCGGGGTTCCTTTAGACATTTATGCACATGCGCACTCTTCAAAAACAACGTTTATTGAGGACGCGCTAAAATGTATATATATTTATGTTCCTGTGGCTCAGTGGTAGAGCATTGCGTTAGCAGCGCAAAAGGTCATGGGTTCAATTCCCAGGGAACACACATACTGGTAAAAAAATGTATAGCCTGAATGCACTATAAGTTGCTTTGGATAAAAGCATCTGCTAAATGCATAAATTTAATTAAATTTAAATTAAATAGAATGGAAGTTATAGATTGTACTGCATGTTAGCTTACTTATTGTGACAAAGAGCATAATTTATTTAAGTCCATATGTCTTACTAACAAGAAACTATGCTTCTAACCACAGGTCGAGAGCTGTAGTTCCTACCACGTAAGTTTGCGACACTGTTTGCGGACGTTTGTTTGAACTATGGTTTCGGGAAACACCGAATCGTTGAACTATGCTGGCATCGGTGGAACTTGCGACCATAATTGGCTAACGATGCTTTTGGGAAACGCGCCCCAGAATGAGCAGAGCTGGAATATAAACGAAGGAGAAGTTCAAATATAAGAGTTTTTGTTTTTGTCGCAAAAATTTATTCCCAGACTAACATTTGTGTTATTATTATTCATCACTTTACTACGGAAGCCCGGTTCCACCACGGCATAAAAAAATGTCAAATGTAATTGTTACTTTTTATCTCACAATTGTGAGTTTGTATCACGCAGTTTTGACTTTATAACTCACAAATGCAAGTTTATATCTCATGAATCTACATTTATAACAGGCAATTGTGAATTTATATCTCACAGTTCTGAGAAAAAAGTCAGAATTGCGACATGTAAACTCGCAATTGCAAAAAAAAAAAAAAAAGTCAGTACTTTGAGATTAAAAAGTCGCAGTTAACTTAAAAATAACTTTTTTATTCAGTGGTGGAAAAAAGCTTTCGATATGTTATTAATGTTACAACATATGAAAAATAGTCAGATGAAGAATGAGCAAATGTATCCAAATGTATGAATGCATCTATTATAGTATTTATTCATATATATATTTTTTTTATTATTTTCATATTTTCCATTTTCATTTTAATTACATTTTTAGTAATTTTGCTATGTGCTTTTATATATAATACATACATACATATATATATATATATATAC